TACACCTCGGGAAATATTTCCCTAGAGAGCGTGATAAACGTTAGTTCTGCTTGTCCTACATGCTCTGCGTTTCCGCTTCCAGCGTCCAGCCGCCTGCGTTGGTGTAACGGGTTAAGCAATCCGGCAAACGGCCACACACAATACCCATGTACGTCAAGTCTGCATAGTTCAATTTTCGTATTTATTATGCCCTTATCAAAGTCCTTATCCACTGGCTCTCCAAACACAATCAACGACAGGCGGTAGAACATAATTGCTTGTTACACAACCGTGTTAGAGTGGCATCTGTTTGTCAAGCTCCTACATGATTGTTCTACAACGCGGCAACTAAATTGGGTATGCGACGCGACCACACGCACCAACTTACCGGAAATCCACGATGTTCCCCCGATTAGAGAACTGGCTATTTCTAGCAGAGTATAAAGTGCATTCTGACCCGTCATCATAATAATGTAAGAACAACACTCGCTTAGCACAGATAGTTTACTGCCAACAGAATGTTTTACAGATCGGCCAAATGAACAACACGTCCATAATTCTTACTGACATGTTGAACCATTTGTTGGCAGTGCTGCTGCGTCACTAAGGCCCGTGCTTCAGACACCGCGTGCTCCAAAAAGCGAATCCGCCACTCGCTTTTATTCATAATGCCTTCAGGATCCCCCAGGAGCATCTCGGAGTACCGTCCCCTCATTGCCTGTTTTACATGAGCCTTTATTATGCTCCAGATGCCCTCGATGGGATTGAGAGCTGGTGAGTATGGCGCAAGGCGTAGAAGTCTCCCAGTGCGGTACGGTTCCTCCAGAAAAACGTGCTCCAGGTGCGTGTGACAGGGCGCGTTGTCACAAATCAAAAGACACCTTTCCACAAACCCTGCTCCGTTGGTATCAAGCACTTGTCGCAGCCACTGAGCGCACCTTTGCTTGTTGTAACTTCCTCTCAGAACCGAACACGCTATCAAGCCGTTGTTTGTCATGGCGCCGACAAGATGAACATTCGGTCCCCGGCTGTTCGCCACTGTACACTGCGCTCGACTACCACGTCGTGAGCGGCCACGAGTGCGGGAGCAAAATAAGTTGAAGTTGGTCTCATCAATCCACACCGGTTGCCTTCCTTCCACCTCGTAATCCATGAGCTGCAAAACGAATGACCTGCGTCGTTTTTTGTTCTCCAGCGTGTTCATGGACTCCGGAATGGTGTGCAATTTCTTCATTGTTATAAGTCTACCATCCAAGTATCGTGAGACAGTGCTGGTACTTACTGAAAGTTCGAACTCCGCTTTCAACCGCAAACGAAGGAGTTCAAGGGTAACGGTAGGCTCTGCAGAAACCCACTCCACCAGAGAGTCGACGTGGCTTTCTCCCAGTGCTCTGCGACGGACTCCCCTTGCTGCCCCACCGGTTCCGTCGATTCGTACGCCCGTATCCAGTTGCGGCAAGTTTTCACGTTCACCTTCAGTATGCAAGCGACCTGCTTCCAATCGTCCCCTTCCTCGTACGCTTTCAGTACGACGTTCTTCATCCCCCTCGAGTGCCGAACATACGAGCCAACCATTGCGTTTAGGTGAACTGCACATTCAAAAGTATACGGCAAACTTATTTGGCTGTGGCTCGTTATACCAAACCAATCGTCATTCAAATCCCTACTCTCGTTCTAATTGGTGGGAATCGCTTCCTAGGACAGAGAAAGAAGGACCAACCTGGTGCCTCGGCCAGCGACACTGTCCCTGGTAGGAGCTGAAGCGTCCCACCTGCACCCCTATGACTTAGTGCTTCTGAGGTCCAATTGGCTGAAGGCGACGGGCTATAGATGCACACCTACACACCTGCACAAGTGAGTGGTGTACGCACGGAACAAAGTAATTGAGTAGACTCATGTTGAATGCCCACCCAGATTATTTCTGTTGCCCAAGAGGACAACTTGCCCGGGGAATGGTATAGCTTTATAACACACGTAATGCGAAGTCTCGTTTAGCAAATCTGCTTGCTTTCCACCAACCAGCAAACGGACGCCTTGTGCTCAGGTTTAATTAAATGTTGGCGACATAGTTAAGCTGAAACCAAATGGCAGTTATGGAATTTCAACGCTACTAGAGCGGCAGAATTCAGTTATGGTTGTTTCGGGCAATCTACCATCATGTTTGAAGCGGTGGAGTACGTTCTGATGGGCTGCGCCTCAAGAATCTCTCACGTGGCTTATATTAGTAAACAAAGCAAGTGATAAATTTAGCCGTATGTTAAGGTGTCTTCCCGTGTTGCTCAGCACAGAAGCTAAGTGAGGAGATGAAGACAAGTAAATGGATTGGCCTTATCCTTCAAATCAAACAGTCCTACTGCACTGAGCGAAATGCTGTATATCAGGGTACTAACACAGTTCTACCAATTTATTCACATCGGCACACCTGTTTCCTATCCATAAAATTGGAAAACGGACTCAATATGTTGAATCGCGTCACTGGTTGTTAGGTCGATGGATCACTCGTGGCCGAAAAGCAGGTGAGTTATTCCAGGACAGATCAAGAGGTACTAACTGCACATGATGAATTCACGTGGCAAGTTGGGGGTGTCTATTCCCCAAGCTCGTTCGTTGGCCCGCAGAGATTGTCACAGGCTTGGAAATGTCGTCTAAACCACGTTCCGTCGAATGACTCGCCGCTGCAACTCTGATACTCTCAATTGCTGTTGTTTATTGGCCACCCAGACGTTGCCATGACGACTGCTACCACGCCCATGCTAAAACGTTTAGTGTACCTAACTACATGAATGCCAACGTGTCCTAGGAGGAATAATTTTGTGTTCGATAACATAAACGAAAGTAGGACGAGTCGCGTGTTAACTGGCCCTACAAGCACTCGAACTGCAATAAAGACAAAAGAACCCCTGTTTGAAGTGTATACTAGGTTGCTGGGAGACGTTCTTGGCCTCCTCGTATTTAGAGCTATCAATTCTTGATAGATCAGTGGTTGGCCCACGGAATGGATATCATCTTGTAGCTACTGCAAGGTGAGAATTCAGACGACTTCCTTTTAAAGTCTGCAAGAGCCTCATTTTTCATAAACACAGGGTTATTTATACTTAAGGATTCAACGCCACCTTCCCCCACAGTTTCACTGTCCACAGCCAACTGTCTCTTCGATGTGTTTTAGACAGCTACATTCTCAATTACTGGCCATTTAAATGTCTCATTGGCGTACTCAATTTGCCTTCATCAGTCTGCGCCTTGTTGTTTCCACCAGCTCCCCTCCCGCTACAAAAGTAGTCAGCCAATGTCAAGGGAATGTGCTATAATTCCTGTATCCATGCTCTACATGAATTCAGAGTAGTATAGCCAGTAGTAGTTGTTATATGCGTCACGCACGACACGGTTAGATTTCTCTTAGTTCCGTCGTTACACCCTACGTCTGTATTCGTATGCAAACACATCACATTTGCGTCTCCAATTCTCAACTTTTGGTAATCCATCCTACTAACCCCGAACCCAGTTCAGACCCCACGATTCCACGGATCCCACCGGTAGTTTGATGAAATTGCATGACATTATTAGGGAGCGGGAGACTAAATGCTTCAGCATGTTTGCGATACGGGATGGAAACTCACACCCATAAACATGGCACAAAACTGATCACTGAGGACTTCGGTACATAGGGGATTAGCGCTCCATCACTCCGTGGGACGCGATGGCTGAACAAATAATTTTCGTGAATAGGGTATTGGCTACGCGCTGCACTGAACGAGGATGTAGCTGGAAAGCCACTTGAACATGCCGCCCACTGTACAATGTTAATTCACCTGAATCCTCATTAGCTGGAGAAACCGGGCGACATCCACCAAAGTTTGATGGCATTTCGCCCACACCTCGGACGGACTAACGCTGAAACACTTAGCAGGAGATGTTTGTTCATGTGTTATCCTGATGGCGTGAAGAAAGTTTTATTCACAGTTGTCTTTTGTGGCACTGTCAGTGTTGAGACGGGATTTATAACTGTAGTCAGGTTACCCCAACATGGGCATCTAGGATGATGCCGCGGTGTGTGTGTATGCTATCACGCATCATGTTTCGTCTTAACTAACCGGGAGGATTGCTGTCTTCTTTCCGTGTGTACTACTCGATGTAAAATGATCACCAACCTTCCATTCTGTCTACTTATTGATGTTGTGGGTTGGAGGCATCGGTGGAGTGTCAAAGTCAAGTTACCACACTATGTCATTGTACGCTAGGATGCATTACGAGAAGGCTGGGCTTCCCGTCGAAGTGCACACCGCGAAATTTGTGCTTGTTGACCCCGCGTGTCTAAGTGAAGTACCGTTGGTATTGGTCAAGCGCAAAGTGGCGAGTGGCAAGAAGTGCCAAGCAGTGAGGAGGTGATCGTGAACACCGCTACAGCCGCATCATCAAGGACATCCACATTAGCAGTTACAAATAGGGTAGAACGGTGTTTGATCAAAGATGAATTCCGTGTATACCAGCTGATAATTTTACGCAGGGCGTAGCACTGATGGACTTTATGCGATTAGTCAATCCAGGTAAATGGATGACTGATCCGACCGCCCTGACGTGGAAAAAGTAAAAGTAGTTTATTCATAAAAGAGCACAAAGTGTGTGAAACTATGAAACTCCTAGATCATTACAAATAAGAAAAACGTAACTATAGAGAAACTTTGGTAAACGAACAGATGTCTGAAGCAGAACCTAAATTCATAATTGTCATAAATTACTAAGCAAATAGAAACAACTTGTATTCATTCAAAGTGGTCATAAGCGGGAGACCATCGAGAATGATGGTAGTATATAAAAATAAAAGCAACTTGAAAAAGGCAACGAGACGTGCAAGAAAACCTAAGTTAGCATTGTTTTATTGGCGGACACGCACTGAATGAGGGGCCACAGTTACTTTTTGGAGTAGTAGTCTAGAATGAGTCCTTTCGGAGCATTGGCGTATAGTTCCGGCCTGCACATATCCTCCGAATTGACACAATGGGCTTGTGGGCCATTCTCAGGTTGAAATATGAAATCCCACAATACCTAAAGTGAACAACGAATTGGAAATTTGGAAAGTTTTGTGGCAAACAAGGACAGTGAAAGCAGACAAGGACTACGACATATCATTAATGCTACCCTGAGAATGCCAATCTGTGTGAAGCTTCCCGATGAACAAATTTGACAAGAAACTGTGAGGACGTAGATCGCTTTCTTCATTCTGCAACCGCGTGTTTCCAGACGCCACGGATAACAAAAATATCACAGGGCGAGAATAAAAACTGAATAGAACTGTCAATCTGTCCAACCGTCACTGGCCAACTACCCTTTCTAATGGACATCATGGTGACAGTACATGAAAAGAGCGCTGTGGTAGGTGTAATTATTACGAGTTTGTCCACGTAGCTTTTTTCGGGGATTATGATATGAATTGTATCTGGTAAGAGAACATGAATCAACGAAGTATTGGGACCTGTTGGATAGGTGGGGTATGCGTACCCGGAAAATGTAACGCTGTTGAATCAGGAAACACGTACAAAAGACACAAAATTTCTACGCAGTTATTTGATGTAGTTGTAGAGGTATAATAGTAGCTGCAAGAAGCCAAAAAGTGAGCTCTTCATGATGTGGTGAGATTGGGTACATTTACGGGACCAGCTTCACAGAAATTTAGTTTGTTGACTGTGTTCCAAAAGATGATGTGAGGAGATATGGGATGCCGAGGCCATTCACAATGACGACGAAAGTTGAGGATAGTGGAAGAGGACGAAAGGAGAAATAAAATGGTTAAAGAGACAAAGTGACAAAATCGGCTGAATCACCAAATATAGGGACTGGTGTTAGAAACGAGGGCATTGAATGGAACAGCTTCTCAGCTTCCCGAGTGAGTCAGATTAGGTGTGAGCTTAAACTCGCTGTTAACTTTACCCTGTTTCGTGAAACCAATACGCCGAAGCTTGTTTGAACAGCGGCAGTATTCGTGAATCATACAAGTGAAACACACATACCAGAGAAAGCTCCACCTTCTTACCTTTGTAAGGGAATTGTGGTAAGGCAAGTTGGCATAGTATTCCGGGGCGATTTCGTGCAATTTGGGCAAGCGGGTGAATGGAATGTAGGGAAAGTCATGGTGTTCCACGTGGTAGCCCAAATTATAAATCAGTGGGTTCCAAGGCCCATAGTACGAATGGGTGGCCTGTTGATCCGCAAACAAATAGTGCTCACTAATGAAGTGCCCTGTCATTGGGTGTGGTCCGAGGCCAAGCAGAGTGCCGATCGCAAAGTAGGCCAGTGCTTTGAAACCAAGCACGTGCAGCACGAGTAGGTCGAAAGCGATCTGGATCACAAAGTTGATCACCTCCCACACGGTAAGCGGTCGTGGCAGTTTGATGAAGGGACGGAACGCGTAAAGCAAAGGATGCAGGCAAATCCAGATAAACCTACTGAAAGGACGATCGAACAGTTTTGCTTCGATGCGCAGCGGCATATCGGCATCGGAATCTTCATGGCCAAGCCATCTGAAGTAACAGAGGGGTAAATGACGATTACCAAAGATGGACTGGAAAGAAACACCAGACCTTTGCTTTCCGTTCTAATGGCTACTCGGTGCATACTGAGAAAATAAAAAAAACTATTTTTACTACTAAAATAAGAAAGTTGACTCTAAAGTGCAAAGCAGTGGATGTCATAAATAAAAATGATTTAGAAGGACCTGGGCTGTAAGATAGTTCAGCTAGTTACTAAATGGTTCTTATAGGGATAGTGCAGGGAAGTTTGGGACAGAAGTAGAGATCAACACAGTATGATGTGACTCCTGTGATGACGATGGGTTTGACCTTACTGGTTGTGTTTTGTACGCTCGACATTATTTGTTCCGATCAAAGCAGAGTTCAGGCTTTGAATAGAGTTGAAAGTTTATCTGTAAACCATTGGCGATTGCTAGGATAGTTTATGACTAGATGCATTAGGCATTGAAATAGAACTCAGTTTGCTTCGTAAAGTGACGGAGCCATTAAGTCTATCGTTGCCTTTTCCGCCGAACATCATTTTTACATTATCTATTGTATATATCACAGTATTACAAGATTACAGCGACATCCAATTTTATTAAATCAAGTTCCAAGGTCACTGAGACCCATCACTCTCTCCAAGTTTGAATATGCACGCGAGATTTCGCGCACGATCCCCGATATATTGTCTCTGGACACAAAATTCTACGTCAGTTGAAACGAATTCTGAAGAAACATTTTACGAAAGCTTTTCCGTTTTCAATGGATACAAATCCCGAAGATTTAGTCTAGCTTTTTGGGATCGTTGCTCGATCGATCCATGACATTGAATCCTCATTTTTCTACCCATTTTTAAACTAAGCATTTTTAATGGTACCCGTTTGGTAAATTTACGGTTGATAATGTAAAATGTTGAAAATACACACTTTTGGGTACATAAAGCTTATATTGACTATTTATGTGCAACGTGAACATGGGAAGGACACAGAAACCGCTTGCAGCTACTTTCTCACATCAATCGCTGGACAGCTATAGACAACAGCTCTTATAAGATCACGCTGTTCCGTTCTGTTGGCGGCGTTCAACGTTCGCACTGCATGACATATAGGTCAACAGGCTGCACTTGCACGCACGCTGGATGCACTGGGCACTGAGGTGTGTTGGGTGTCCAAAACTAGGAGCAATGACCTTAATGGGGTTGTCGAATTAACTACGCCCGGCTTGTCCTCTCGCTATGGGTTGCGCGCATCCGGCGACGCTAATGCGGCAACCAAGTACGAAGTTGGAGTGGCCATTGCTCTCGGCTCCAAGGCTGAGTCATCCTTGGTTGATTGGATTCCAATGAACAGCCGTTTGGGTGTAGCCCGTTCGACAATATACACTAAGATTGGATCACGAAGTTGTACAAAACGGTTTGTTTGTGAGTTCCGCTAATGCTTCCATAGACTGCAGTTTGGATGCAGGCAAGGATACATTCCACCACGAACTGAACACGCTGCCACGCAGTGCTACCAGTCCAGATTTCAGCAACTGCTGGCGTGTGTCAGTAACCCGCTCACCCACTCGTCGATTAGCCAAATTTAGAACAGTGAATCGATGCGTCGTACAACATGCAGGTTGGAATACAGTTTTGCCTACCGTTTGAGCGACGTGTTTTGCTTTGCGATACTTCGGCTAAGAGCCAGAGCGTTAGTTCGGCAACTGCTACACTGCGACAGCCCATTAGAAGTTCGGTTAGGTGGTAATTATAGGCTTAACTCAGAACGAGCGGACAACGACGAGCGTCTTTTGCAACTGTGTGCGGAGCACCAGCTGTGTCTTAGAAGCACCGCTTTTAGAAACAGTGGGAGCCGGAGTGCAACTTGGCGTCCTCCTTTAGCTGACCAGCGATAGATCACATCGCCATAAATTACAGGTGGCGTGGTTCCATCCTAGATTACCGCACTTCCTGGAATACTTGCGTCGACTCTGATTATGCCTTGGTACGCGGTCGCTTTTCTACGAACTTTATCGGGAGGCGAACCAAGCGCCTCTCTCGAGTAGCAACTGAGAAATTGTCTCAGCCCTCGGTCAGGCAAGCATACCAGGATGCAAAGCGTATCGAACTTTCGCTGTCTTGTCCTAATTAATACTGAAATTAAAGAACGAGATGTTGCGCCGTCGTAGTTAGATCGGTCAATTGTACGGAATCACATCGCCGATTCCTGTGCGGTAGCAGCACACTACAGATGCACTAGATCTTATCCGGGTGCGATACGCTTCCTATACATGTACTCCGCAGAGGCATCAAGGAATGGCTTAAATTCCGACACAGATTTAGCCTCGACTATTGATCTACGGCAACTTGTTCCAATATATCACCAATCCACGCTCGGAGCATAGAGGGTGAGTGGTACGCTTCAAATCCGGCACCACTAGTTTGTACCGGTGCCCGCGTATGCTGCTTGGTGCGCGAACGTGCAGCAGTGCCCTAAGCATGGGGAAGTGGTCCAGGTGCAATATTCTGTGCGTCATTATGAGATCAAGTTGAAGCTGAGGATATGACAGGGTATACATCCATAGTCTCCTACATCGGTCCTCGTACGATGTATCCCGTAAACTTGGGATGAGCCGGGTAGCTACATGCTGAACCCATTCCAGTCTCTGCCCCTCAACTATTGTGATCGAACAATAGGCGGGTGAACCGTACCCAAGCACCAGTCTTATCATGGGAGAGAACAGGCGAGTGGCAATCTCTTCAGAACAAGTGCAGAAGCTGCGTCTAAGTGCCCAAAACAGGCGTATTCGGTTTCCGTACAGCCTGTTCGTGTTGCCGATGGATTTCAGATCACAGCGTGAGAGTACACCTGGATCCTTTGCGGAACTGATGGGATGCAGCGCGTGGTCGGCCATGGTGTATGTCCGCTCATTACCACACCTCCCCAGGCTCATAAACGAGGACTTGGCGGAGTTGACCAGTAGATCAACTTCTGCAGACCATCGGTATAGGCGGTCAACGTCCTGCTGAAGGATGGTACAGCTGTCGGGAGAGTTAAGAACCTTCCGAAGCTTCAGGTCGTCTGAAAACAATGCGCAGGGCGACCGAAAAAGCTGAGGTACTTAGTTGATGTGGATAAAGAACGATATGGGCCCCAGCACTGTGCCTTGAGGTACGCCGCTGGTGAAAGAGTATCATTCTCTTAGTTGGTCATCCACCTGTCATCATCATCATCATCATCATCATACACGTTAGCTAGCGGTGGGGAACACCTCAGCTACTGCGCCGCAATACACAGAAAAAAGGAGAAAAAAAAGCAACTGGTGCAAGTCGGCTGAGATACCGGTAACGGATGGGCATCATTCCGGTAAGCTACCAGCCGGCTGCTGTGCACCAAAAATATCACTATGCAAAATTATATAAGGCTAAATAATGAGATCGTGGTTGGAGGGGGATGCTAACAGGGATGGGGTGGGACAAAGAAACTCACAGCACGAACGCCACTGAGGTCGGCTCCTAGCCATATCAGCAAGTGTGTCCAACCAAACGTGTTCATCATCTTTCGGACCCCAACCAGGGAGCCGAGACGCTCCAACCGAGGCTAGCTTCGAAGTGAGGGTCTTCATTCCTCTGGACCAAGTCATCGCTTGGCCACCCCTCCTCTTCTTCCACCCACACCCCCGGCGCGCAAACAACACACGTCGCGGAAGTCGGTGGGCTGGCATGCGTAACACGTGGCCGAGCCTTGGGAGCTTGGTGCGTGGAATAACGGTGCTGAGCGGTTCATTTCGTTTTCCTGTGCCATAAACAAGGCGTCGAACACGCTCGTTGCTCACGCGGTGTTCCCACCAGATGTGAGCTAAATTACGAAGGCATCGATGGTCGAACGTAACTAACCTCTTCAGGTCCGCTGCTTTAAGTGGCCAGGTTTCACAACCGTACAGTAGGGTCGAACGTACTGCTGCAATGTACACTCAACCCTTCAGGGAAAGAGTGATGTTCGCGCCGGCGCCATAAGTGGCGAAGGTTAGCAAAAGCGCCTCGAGCTGGTGATATACGATTCGTGATTTCATCTTCGATACCACGGACGCTGATACAACTTCCCAGGTAGTTGAATTTTTGAACGACTTCTAGCTGATCCCCACCAAGGGTTAGCGTAGGAGGCGGTCCAGACCAATCTAGGAGGAATGCTTTGCACTTCGAGGGTGCGAAGCAAAGCCCGAAGTGACGGACAGCTAGTGCTAATCTGTGCAGTGCCGCTTGGCACGTTTGTGAGCTGTCACAGATCATCCACCTGTACCCGCCATTTTCCCTATGAGGAAGTCACTGATCCATTGGTGTAGTGCACCACCAACACCACACATCCTCAGCTTGTGGAAGAAGATATCATGGTCCACTTTCTCGAAAGCGTTCCTGAACTCAACATAGATAACATGTACTGATTGCCTCCGGTTCAACGCCTGCAACCATCCGTTCCGCGTTAACAGCAGGTTGGAGCGGCTCTTCAAGAAACAGTGCTGTGCAGGGGAAAGGAGGCCTATCGACTCTAATAGCTGGAGAAGACGCTTTTACACAATCTTCTCGAGCGCTGTCGCCGAAATAAAGGTCAGACAAATTGTTCAATAATTATCCGCTTTAGTCGCGTCACCGCCCTTCCGAATCGGTTTCAGTACCGAGCATTTCCAGTTGCTTGGGAATGCACCCTCAGACTACGATCTGTTTAACAGATAAATCACAGTAGGTGAGGAAATGGCCGATAGGGACTTTGGAATTAGCGGATGGAGGTCGTCGGGTCCAGCAAAAATCGTGTTGTCAAGACTGACAAGTACACTGCAGACATCTTTCATATTGCACTTCAGTTCCGTAGGAGCTTCACAGGTTAAGTTAGATGTACGCGCATGCCCACCTGTAAATACGGAGGCGAAGTGCGCCGCCAAAGCGGACGCACCTTCAGTGCTGGAAGTCAGAGCTTGTCCATCCGAGTGGTCTAAAACTTCTGGGTCACCTGCGCGCATCAGGCGTGGCTTTACATCAGCAGAAATCTTCTTGGGGGCTGACTTCGCTGAATTTGCAAGCTCCTCTTCAAACTGTCGACGTTTCGGTGCTTTTGTGCTGTTGCATAGGTTTCGCTGCCACTTGTAGGCCACACAAGCATCGACAGAATAAGACATGAGGAATTTATTATATAATTTATTCCATAATAATGACATTCTGTTTCAATGGAATAGGACCTCGGCTGCCATGCACGACGCAGGAGCATCTGATTGAGGTACTATCAATCGTCACCGCACCAGTCACCAAATATCTGAGAGGTCAGTGAACCTGTTGGAATCCAGATAAAACCTCCTAGCTGGCTCTGAGCACGATGTGACCAGGCGGACTATTAGGTGAGAAATAAAGCGGAGCCTGCATGCTGATAAGAAAGCCTGGTGGACCAGTATGGATGAAAAAATGAAGGATCGGGAGCGGTGCGCAGTTATTGCAAGCTCTTCCAGTTGATCCGCATTAACGGGTCCCAGGAAACCAGGCGTTAGCGAGACAATCAGAGACAGCGCAGGAGTACTGATTCACAATAAGGAGCGCCGTATGGATCGCTGGGCGGAACACTTTTAAGATCAGTTCAGTCGGCTATCTGCTTCCGGAACTCTTCCAACTCGGGTGATGCAGGACGAGCCATGGACTGTTAGTTTAGGGGTTTCATCGGAGGCCGAGGTCCGAAGCGCGATCACAGTCCTCAATCGTTTTCGTGCCGCTGGCCCGGGTCCGCTTGCGCCTACACTATTTAAGGATGGAGGTCAGATAATGTGCAAACACTGGGATTCCTGTTCGAGCATGTCTGGAGGGAAGAGACCGTCTCTGCTAACTGGGGCGAATCGATTATAGTGGCCATATTCAAGAAGGGCAGTCGCACAGACTGAGATAACCACAGGGTAGTTAGCCGGTGGTGACAAAATCACTAGCCTTAATTCTCGTTCGTCGTCTCATCGCGGAACGTGAATCTCGAATAAGGAAAGAGCAAACACGTTTCCGCCCAGGAAGTGGCGTTTTGTCTATATATTCACTCTGCGGCAGGTGCTAGAGAAGCGCCACGCATACCGCAGAACGAAAATAACTGTGTTCCTCGACTTCGAGAGTGCATTCGATTCAGTCGATTGATGCATTTTGTTCAAAATACTTGCGCGGAGAGCTGCCCTCATGAAATATGTCACGTGCTTTGTAATCAAACACCACAGGCTGTGTCGGGGTTTACGGTGGTCTATCGGATATCTTTCCGACAACAAGTGGCGTTCGTCAGGGTTGTCCAATTTCCCCATTTTTGTTCAATTTCGTCGCAGACTCCATCATGGAGTGTTCCCTTGCGGAGTCTCACGATGCAGATGTTGAGGCATTGCCTGTTGAAAGGCTTCTTGACCACGATGATGCGGGCAACATCGCCTTGCTGTTTAACGATGTTGGGGCGGCGCAATCCCTGAATAGCCTCTCTAGACTGGTCCCATTAGTTGGCATGCGCTTGGCACCTTCAAAGTGCAAAGTGTTGTTGAAGGGCCACCAGCCAGCTGATGAGCCCTTGGTCATCGATGGCGAGAAACCCGAGGTAGTTGATCAATTCACTTAACTTCGTAGCTGCATCAGCAACGATGGGCGCATAGAAACTGAAGTTAGTTCATGTATTGCAAAACCCAAAACTGTCATCTTGAATCTGTGGCATCTTTGGCGACAGAAAGGAGTCCTCTTCTTCTGAAAGGCCGTGTGTACAAGGCCATAAATAGGGTCGTCCTACTCTACTGGAGTGAGACTTGACCCATTTGGTTTGAAGATTTGAGGCGCTTCCAAGTTTTGATCATCGCCGTCTGCGCAGCATTGTTGGTGTCGGGTGGCACCAGAGTGTCCGCAACGATGATACGAGTGCTAGGCAATGATACCCAAGCTAGTTCCTTAAAACAACAGGTAGCACTGAATAAGCTGCTTTGGTTAGGGCACATGCTCCGTATGCCGCGTCACCGCTTACCGGGGAGGGCCCTGTTTTGTTTACGAGATGTCGGATGGTGCAAGGCTCGAGGTGGACAAAAGTTGATTTAAAATGAAGTTACTGACGACCAAACTGATTGTCGTCGGTCCGTCTCGCCTTTCGGGCTGGAGTCCACGTGACTCGTCTGGTGCTTTGCTCGAAACTTTACAGGACATGGCTCGCAGTCGATACCAGTGGCGAGTCTGCTACAGTCTCCTAGTTGGACTGCTTGTTTAAAGTGTGTTTGGTGCCGAGTTATCTACGGGGTAATGGCTGATTATGACGCTGGGCAGTGAAAGCCGCAAGGAAGCTGTCTCGCTGATGCCGCCTTATCTTTGCACGATAGCAAGATGTTTGTGATGGTGTGTTGTTGACAAGATGTGGGCGCCTTGACCATGAATGTTTGCTTAAGGCATCAAGGTTTTTCAGTAGGTCCCCCATCTCTCCATCTTATTATTCTTCGTACCGTAGGTAGTTATGGTCGTATGGCAGCGAAGCGTCAGTTCAAATGGCTGATGTACTGTTGCTGCTGCTGCTGATGGTTGGCGCCTGAACCTATACTGGTTTACTGAGAAAGAAGTTGGAAGGTTATCAAATGGAGCGCGGAGATGCGGAGGCACCACGTTTGTGTTGCTAGATAGAGACTTTATAAATGCACATTAAAAAGCGGCTGAGATAGCATTCTTGCGAAATGATTGTGTTCCAGTAACTGGCATCAGTGTAGCCATTGCCAGTAACGCAGCAAGACGCAGTGGCACGTCAGTGCTGTCACACGTAAGTCAAGTTGCAGTGAAGCGAAGCGGTGTGTCGACGACTGCAGTCTGAAACGGAAAATACTGAACAGACTGCAGTGCGTAAAACCTAAGGGAGTCAATGACACCATCCAGTGAAATGATATCTGCAGATAAGCCCATCCAAAATTTCGTTTGCCGTGCCCCTGTAAACTAAATACAAGAAATCACTCATCAAGTTGTATAGCGGACAGCTGCATTAGTTTCCTGGATTTAACGGGAATGGCGTCAATGGAAAGGGCCGTTGGTCGTCGATAGCGCGAAAGTAGTGATTTTCCTTAGAACCAAAAGGAAACGTGATGCGGTTAAAAGTATGCGCTCTGTGGTTGCCGGGACACATTGATTTAATTAAATGGAGAGCGATGCCCATTGTCCTAGCAACATAACACAAGAAGCAGCAGGATAAAATGACGTTTGCAGGTATAAATGAAATTATTTTCGTTGAAAAACCCGCTCACCTGTGATGGGCCTGGTGGTATTTTTTGTATGAAATTGCCAGTGGAACAGCCATCGGTAAGTTACACCAGAGGGACAAAACACGATTGGCCGTTCCGTGCTTGTGCCCAAAGGCCAGATTATGTCCTACCTCGTGTATGGCGCAGCCCAGGGAATGGTTGATGGTGCCTCCAATGAAGTATGTCAGCAACAGCCATAAGAACCAACCAGGCTGATAGACGGAAATTATGCTGGCCATTGCAAGCTGAAACAATACTTCCAAGGTGATGTAATAGGCCACGCGGTGATCCGAACCCATAAGCTCTTTGACTTGTGGATATTTAGCCAAAATTTCCTACAATGATACGAACGAGAGAATGAAACAATGAATACCAGGACTAGCGTCCATGACATAGAAGAACAGCTGTCACGAAAAGTAAACATCATTTGGGCGAAAAAGTAAGCGCATGCCTGCCCTCATACCAAGGGGATAAATCAGGGCTGAAAATGGAAGCGAACTCAAAAATATAAACAATGGGAAATCTAGAATATTCCAACAAAAAACTTGGTTCACTGGTAAGGCTAACTTGAAGGCGATAAGTGAACCTGAAGAAAGTAGTCTAGACAACAACATTAACGTGGTCTCAAAGATGATTAAAAGACAAATTGGCTATAGAGAGGACCATTGATTTGGATTTCAAGAAATACTAAGTTGCTTACTTTGAAACAACCCTACCAACAAGTCTTGGTGGTTTGTTTTGGCTTAAGTCATGCTACAGTGAAGGAAGTATCAAAAAGAAGGAAGGAAGAAGTTCAAAAGAGGACAGAGATAACATAAGCATAAACAAAAAGGAGCCGCTATTGTGGAATAACGTAACCTAATTACACTGAACAATACGGCAACTTATTCATTGGTTCACTGGTTTGTAGAGAGCAGAAAGGAAACCCTATCTCAGCGCCTTCACTTCCCGCTCATTGCAGGAATCGTGTGGGTTGATGTGGCACAGTGTTCTACAAGGGAGCACTGCGGTCACAGTCAACACAGCAAGATCCAGAGTTGATAGAGTAGAAGGAGTAAACTGCTGAGGAACAATGCTTAGTAGCAACTCGTGGTGTGTAAACAAGAGTGACAGCGTCTTACTAAGCACAGTCCCGATGGGGACTCAAAACGTTGCAACTGGTTTCTGCGGTCTGGAGAGGGTTTTGCGTGGAGAACGCCAGTTAAAATTAGTCAATGGGTGGTGTATTCTACAACACGTATAACAATTCACGGTCAGCCACAAGCCACTGAGAGAGCTGACTCCGTCATGAAAGTCGTATGCGCTAAAAGAATACCGATGGCCTGAGGTCCGATGCTGTTTATGCTCCAGTAAAACTACGCGGATTAGGTAGCAAAGTCATGTAACAGTACCTCCATCACATGCCGAATCTTCCGTCGTTAATACTTTTCGTCCCTCTGAATGCACTTTAGATGGCAGTCTTGTCGAAGCCTAAAAAGTCCGCCATTGACCAGTCTTCGACCCAAATCTTCATTCCTGTTGGAAGACCAAAACTTTGAAACCCTCATATAGATCGGGCAACAGGTCGGCCTACCGCACACCCTAGAGTCCCTAAGTATCGATATTTGTTGCATTTCCGATGCACAATTATTGGATTTCAGCAACGTGGCTTGCTAACCACAAAACCAAATATTTACTGCGCCTGTCTGATGACACAATAACAAGTGTGTCTTTGCTGGTGATGACATCATAATGAGTGGCAAAGCTGGGGCCGCGCTGCACAAGTTGTTCCAGATTGGCAACCGAAAGTGTGCGGTTCGATTTCAAGACTTATGCAAGCTCAATAAATATCGTGGAGAAAGAGAGAGGCACAATCTGTTTGTGATCTCCACCTACGATCCAACCGACTGAAGTTAAGCTTCGGTTAAGCACGACTTTTATCGCGGACTCCAACATCTAAGTAAAGCCGAAAAGTCCGATGTCGTCGTTCTTGCCGGAGGGTGCCACGCACGGGTCGGTCGTCTGATGCCAGGTAAATGCCATCTAAGTGGCCGGCATGATGAAGGTCAGTCTGAAAACGGAGATAGATTTCTCACGTTATGTGGGGACAACTGCCATTCTCTCCTGAGCACGAAGTTCAGGCATTCGAAGAGACGCGCCGACATCTAGCGTTCCAATTCGCCAAAGCAAGCGTCATCACAAATTGACCACATTGAAATTAGCTTCAAATGCGACAGAGTAGGAATTGCAGATAGATTTGATACACCTACATTGACACAAACCACGCTACGCTCTGTGTAGATATCTGCATGTGCTTCAGGGATCTCTCGAAACCGAAACACCGTACACTGGATATCGACAGCTTAGCTAAACCCTCCATTCAACTGGTCTGTCAATCCTCCTTATCAGATGGGTTCGCAGAGGCACCACCTTAAAACGTTGAACACCACTGGAGTTTCTTGCATCAACTAATACTCACTTCCGGGAAGTCATTCTGTGGAATCACTGGAGGCATTCTGAGAATCTGGATCTCCACTCATGAACGTGTTCGGCGTCACGTATTTGGTGCAGGAAGAGCGAGTGAACCGCTCAGCACCATTATATCACGCACCAGGCTCCGATGGTTGGGCCACGTGTTGCGCATGCCAGCACATCGACTTCCGCGACGTGCATTGTTTGCGCGTTGTTCCTGCGGTTGGAAGAGGAGAAGGGGAGGCCAAGCGATGACTTGGTCGTGAGAGATGAAAACCCTCACTTCGAAGTTGGCGTCGTTTGGTGCATCCCGACTGCCTGGCTGGGGTCCTAAGGACGGTGAACACGTTTGGTTGGACACACTTGCTGATATGGCTTGGAGCCGGCCCCAATGGCGTTTGTGTTGTGAGTTCTTTGTCCATCCCCCTCCTACTTAGCATCCCCCTCTAATCACGATCTCATTCGTTAGGCATAATATGATCTTTTTACGGCACGATAGCCAGCTGTTAGCTCTCCGGAACAATGTCCATCCCTTACTGGGGACTCAGCCAGCGTGCCACTGTTTGTTTTCCTTTTCTTGTCTTATGTATTGCGGCACAATAGCTGAGGTGTTTTCCACCTGCAGCTAACGTGAATAATGATGATGATGATGGATCTCCGCTCGTACTTTGGAGTAGTTTGACGGTTGCTGAGCAACCACAGTTGATTCAAACAGCAGTGAATTCTGTCGCAACCTCAACTAGTAACTCAAGCGAAGTTTGAGTAATGATTGCTAAATTTGGTGATCTCAGAGTGTTACAGAGATGGAGACAGCGGCGCTCGCAAAATCTTTTTACGGGCAAATTAACGCATATCGATAATAAGTTAGCTTGTTAAAATATCAAAAACATCTGTTTTTCATTAAAGTTCACAAGCGCATCAATTCAGTCTCTCCCTGCTTGGTTACATGCACGCAAAACCAATGACACTCTGGTCATGGGATATTAGTCAGTGGTACACCCGGGGTGTAAGCTCAGGGCTCGACGTATACGTCTATGGGGGAGAGGTATGCTCCTGAGTAGGTTGACACATTGGTGTTAGCGGAAGGCAGACATGGATGAGAGTGTCAGTGCTAGAGTTCACCAACAACACGCCTGACTGTAGCTTGTCAACCTAGGATGAGGTGTTTGGGCGTTCTCCGTTTACACAGCTCTGACAAATATTTTGGCGGAAAGAGTTATCATTGGTTTATATTCTGACACGGCCGGTAGCCAGTGCTCCTGTACCAAATTACCAACGCTTGTCCGAGCAGTCCGTAACGTATCGGGCACACAATATGTGATCGGTCCAAGGGGCACAGTACCAGGGGCACATTTACGCGCAGGTTAGTATTGCCTCTAATGGAAACAATATACCGCATGATGATGATGATAATAATAATAATGGGTATATTTCTCATCAAGTGAAAAACTATGACAAGATTTGGCACAGAACATACACGCACAGGTGATGTCGTACTCTTGCAAGCGCAATATCAAGTTGTCTTCTTATATTTGTCTCCATTCCTGGCAAGGTATTTGTCCCATGTTTGTCTTATGCGATGGTAGGGGGCAAATTTGTCGTTTGGATATGGTGTAGACACAGAGGGCTAATTAGATTGCGTGAAGTGGTGGTATTACATCCTTTAGATGTTATCTGGGCTTTCATTAAATAAATGTTCAAGTGATCTTCCCTACGAAAAAAACGACATAATGGTGTCCAGATAGCGGTAGCTACCCAACTCATTGTGAAGGGATTGCACAGTCTCACAGGACTTGATGGTGAATGGCAGCCGATTCCACATCGAAGCATATATAGTGAGACGAAAGTTAGACCGCAAATTTGTCCTGCATCGTGGTATAATCGGGGTAAGGTCATTGCTACTTAGGCTTCGCGTGTAATTGTGCTTCAATACTAAGGTAAATCGATTGCAATGGGTATTGTCATGAATCAGATTGTGCAACAGTCTCAAGTTATCTTTTAGTCTTCGCAGCTAAATCGGATCGAGATAGAGTTGCTGGCATCGCTCCCGAGAGTATACTATAGGATATTTTCCAAAGACGTGCTTAGTAAATGACCGTTGAAGCTTTGCTATCGATTTTCTGTCTGATTTCCTCATATCGCAACAGACTATGCTGCCATACTCTGGGATGAAACGATAAAGAATTTTAAATAGTTCAACTGAAGCTGTGATTGTATGCATGTTATGAGATACGTTGGCCAAGGATTGTCTGGCTTGTACTATCTGTTACACAATCTATGCGATTGTCCACTACTGTCATTGTATGCCTGCGCAAAGCATTCAGCATTGAGTGCTGGAACGTGCGTACACTACTGGACCGGAACTCGAGTGAGTGTCCTGAGCGACGCACTGCACTGGTCGAGATGGAACTGGCGCGCTACAACATAGATATTGCGGCGCTCTTTGAGACCTGGCTCGCTGAGGAAGATAAGTTGCATGAAGCAAGTGCTGGCTACACGTTCTATTGGGCGGGTAACGCCACTTCAGCATCATGTGAACATGGGGTCGGGTTTGCAATATCCGGTCACCTCCATGGCTAGCTGGTGGGTGAACCAACAGGCATCAGCGCGCGACTGATGCGACTCGGAAGAGGTAAGTTTCCCACTCTTATCAGCACGTACGGTCCGACCATGTGTTATCCTGATGACAAGCGTGATCATTTGTAAACTCAGTTATCCTCCGTGATACGGTCTGTGCAGAGGAGTGACCGATTATTTCTGCTGGGTGATTTCAACGCGCGCGTTGGGCGTGATGTATCGGTGTGGACAGATGTTATCGGTCCGCATGGCATTGGTTCAGCGAATGCGAACGGTGACAGGCTGCTCTCACTGTGGGCCACTCACCGCCTGACGATCACGAACACTCCGTTTGCACTGAGTGCGAGTGATTTAGCAACCTGGACCCACCCGCAGAGTGGTCACGCTCACCTGCTCTAC